CGCAAAGAATGACAACCACCGCGCCATTCGTTGTGAAAGGTGCGGGCTGTTCACTGCCGTGCGTAATGAAGCATGGTCAGTGTAAACAATGAAGGGTCTATCTCCTAATAGATAGACTCTGAACTTCGCGAGTGCATACTTCATGGCAAGGAGTTCCTTGTCATGCACTGGATAGTTTCGCTCAGCTGGTTGCAGCTGACGCGACTGATAGCAGACGACGCGTTCAACGCCTTCAAGATCGTACTGCATTAATGCACAGCCGATTGCGAAATCGCTGGCATCACAGACCACATGAAATGGCCTGTCCTGATCGGCTATTGCTAGGACTGGGGATTGTATCAAGCTCTGCTTGATACCCTCAAAGGAGCGTTGACATTCAGCGTTCCATGACCACCTCTCGTTCTTTTCAACAAACGAGAGAGGTGTACAGTCATCTCGGCGTAATTGCGTGAATACTTGTGCAAATACGCCGCTAGCCCAAGGAATTTTCGAAGACCTTTGACATCGACCGGCACAGGCCAGTCGGTGATCGCCTTGATCTTTTCGGGATCAGGACGTACACCGTTCTTACCAACGATGCACCCAAGAAGTGGTATTTCGCTTGCTGCAAATATACACTTCTTGAGGTTTGCATACAATTGATGCTTTCGCATGATTGTAAGAACTTGTCGGACGTGGTACCTGTGAACTCAACGTCTGACTTTCCATCCATAGCTCGACTATGGATGAATAAGTCATCGAAATAACTCGGCGCGAATTCTCGTACTGGTCTCAACAGATGTGATACACATCTGTTGAACGTGGCAGGGGCATTACTGAGCCCTTGTGGCATTACTAGCCATTCCCAGAGCATACCGCTAGGCGTGCTAACTGCGGTATAGGGTATATCCTGTTCCCGCATTAGGATTTGATAGAAGCCATCCATCAAATCCATGGACGAAAAGATGGTACTCTTTGACATACCATCAATGATTACGTCCTTCCTCGGTATCGGCGTCTGAGCCGGTACCGTTGCAGCGTTCAATTTGTTGAACGCGTGCACTATCCGCCACCCTCCTGTTGCTTTTCGCACACAGAAGGCGTCGGAGAGCTATGTGGGGAAGTTGATTCCCTCACATGGCCTCGCTGCTAAACGATCGGCAAAGAACTTGTCGATCGCAAGTACTTGTTCACGAGGCAGTGGCCACTGCTTCATGACACAGTACTTCGAGCCTGGTTTAAGCTCGACTTCGTGTCGAATACCTTTATCCTTCGGTAATTCGCACGGAACAGTTTCAGGGAATACATCCTTGAATTCAACCAAATCTTCATAGAGAGGATTTTTCTTGAGCGATTCCCATGATTGGGAGTCATATCGCTCAATTCGTGTCTTTTCATCTAGGACACTCTCGTCCATAGATGAACTACTGAGAACCCTCTCGGTCTCAGTAAACACTGTCGCTGACCTTATGTCGGTTACACACTCGTCGTCAGCGACGAGTATGCAGATCTGCTTGACTTTGCCACTACGCAGATCACGCAAGAACCTTTTATGTTCGAGCGTTGGCAACTGAGTGATCTCCGAAGTTAACTTCGGAGGCGCAATCAGATCAAGTGTATAAGCGCCTACACATGATCCGTTATTGACTATGACATTCAATGTCTCTGTCATTTCCTGGGGACTTATTCCCTCAGGCTTCGAAGGACTTATTCCTTCGTCTTCCCGGGGACTTATTCCCGCGGGTTTCGGGGAACTTATTTCCGCCGTATTTGTAATCTTGGGACTTATTCCCTTTACTTCCTCTAGCTGGGGTTGCGCAACCACAGCGAGATCCCCTCTACGAAAGACTCTCCAGTCGATCTAGGATTATCGTTTCGCTTAACCTGAGCGATCGATTGTTTCTCTTCTAGATGTTCCCCTCTAGGGATACATCTTTGTCCCAGTCCACCCGACTTATTCGAGTGGTGGACCTTCGGCGCAGCCTGTGTTTCCTCACAGCCGCCGGAACTTTGCTCCGAAGTGTAACCGTTTGGTACACTAAGGTTTTGTGCAGTCGTACTAACGACCGTACCACAAGTGAGGCCATCGCACTCACTCGTAGTACATCCACACGCTTGTGGACGCTCCCAAAACGTTCATCAGATGGCCATCTGATGAACAAGCGGCAGGCATCGTTACTGTCCGATGTTGCCAGTTTACCTCGTGGTTCGTACCTTCTGAGCCACGGTATACCAAGGATGACATCAAATTTGTCATCCAAATCCAATACGATAAAGTCATCGTCATATTGGGTATCTTCTAGCGTATAGTGGATCTTCACTATACGCTTCATGACGGTTACGGATGCGCCTGTCGCAAGACGTACCGTCATCCTCGTAGGAGGTGTGTCACATTCACTGAATTTAAAGTGACCATCTTCTAGCGATTGGCGTCGCACAAAATTGTTGGACGCCCCACAATCGACTAGAGCTCGAAGGGACAACTTATTCGTCACTTCGAGTTTCAAGGTAATGAGTGAGATCTCATTACCTAGAGCAGCAACGCACAACGTTTGTGTGTTGGGAGCAACCTTCATCAAGAGGCCTACAAATTCTCTTGACGTTGCTGGATCAGTAGGGTGCTCCGCACCTACTGATCCTGTCCGTTTTTTGACGGTCCATCCCGTTGTTGCGTCTTTGCACCAACTGCGGACCCTCGTCCCTGCCCCTTTCTCATGGGTGGATGGTCACTACGCCCAGTGTCGCGAGACACTGGACGAGGGGCACTACACTCGTAAGCGTAGTGTCCTGTCTTATGACATCTGTTGCATCTCTGCAACTTCTTGTAGCCTGTAGAGCGAACCTTCTCGCTCTCTACATAACAGAGTTCCATCGGCTCTGGACCTCCGTTGTCATATCGTCTCGGTTGACGATATGATGTCGAGCTGGCGCGAGCCTGTCTCAGACTGAAGTCTTCCTGCTCCGCAATGGAAATGGCTTGTTCTAGTGAATCTAGTTCAAGCCGGAACAGGTGAGTCTTGACGGGACCATCCGCAAGACCCTGCATGAACACCGAAACTAACGTGTGTTCATCCACCGGATTGGAACTTATACAACTCGTGAGATGTCGTATATGTTGAGCGTAAGCGTGCACATCACGCCTACCCTGCTTGAGTTTCAAGAGTTCGGTTCGAGCCCTGAACTCAGCTCTGGGCGGTTCAAACGTTTGTCTGAGCCGCGACTTGAAGACTTCCAACGACCCAAACGCATTTGGGTCGTGCAGCTTGAGCCCCAGTGCCCAAGTCTTGGCACGTCCTGCCAGATTTGATTGGGCAAATGCAACTTGCATATCCCCGTCGTCGATGCGACGCGCCCTTATGGCGTCATCCAATTCGACGAACCATCTCAAGAGGGAGTCTTCTTCGACCCCCTATACTTTGAGATGTCAATCTTCAAAGTCTCGGGCCGACGCGAGTGCATCGACCCGCCAGCAGCAGCCTGCTGCTGTCTCAACAGTTCAAACTGTTGAGCACCTTGTTCTCTCAACAACTCTGCTTGTTGAGAACCTTGTTGGTGAAGCAAGGCTACTTTCTCGCGTTCAGCGTCAAGTTCATTTTGGATGAACTTGGCGATAGTAGCATGTTGGGCGTCTCTATTGAGAGCCTCTAGCATGACGCTAACAGCATGGATGCCCATGGTCGAACCCATTCGTTCAACCGCATCCCATTCGACATCGCTCAAATGGGAGTAGCCGTCACGCGTAGCGTGAAAGCTTTGGTCATCTTCATCATCCAACATATTCATGTTGGATGTGAACGCGGTCCTTGGACGGACTACGAAGTGCTACCAGGTGTAACGGGGCACCCTGAAGCTTGTACTGGTGACAGTACAAGCTACTTATTCTGATAACAGAATAAGGCGGTGCCTCGATAACTTCACGTACACTCGTACGTGCAGAGGAAGACGGTAAGAAGAAGCGAGTACTTAGTTTAAGTAAAAAGTAGAACTGTATTTATAATAGTTAATGTCTGCAATAAATCACTATTTATCTTCATCTAACTATGTCTAAATACAAATGTGTAAATCAGTTATCTGCTCACCACTCATTGCGTGCGTCTGTCGTGGCGCGTCTTCGTTGGTTGATATAATGGCCTATATCAACCAATTGGGAACTACCTGTAAGTGCTACAGAATATTTGTCCTTATGACAATATTCTGAGAATATAACTCTTATAGTTATATTCTATTAACAATTTCTTATAAATTGTTATGTAACGATTCACCCCGTTACAGTACTCGCTTCTTCTTACCGTCTTCCTCTGCACGTACGAGTGTACGTGAAGTTACGAGGCACCGCCTTATTCTGTTATCAGAATAAGTAGCTTGTACTGTCACCAGTACAAGCTTCAGGGTGCCCCGTTAAACTGATGCAACGGCCGCATCGTCTTCACTAATTCTAACGCATTCATTGCATCAGTGATGCTGACCATTGTTTGCTTTGTTTCGACACAATGGCTTTACACTCACTCACATATTTTAAAATAAGGATATCTTTTGCTGTGGCTTGAACGCAGACAACGACGTTTACTACTCGACAGTTTGCGCAAAAAAGGTACAGATGTACTTGATTTTACGGCAAAAATATGACTTTTAAAATTTAGCTGATGTGATATTGCTCCCTCTACCCTCGACTTAGAATTACCCAATCATGTAGCTTTATAACAAACTGAAGGTGTTTTACCAGAAACTGCAGGGAGATTAACGAGTCCCTAAAAGTAGGTGTATTTAGGGGTTACCCAGGATAAAGTATGGGTGTGCGAAATTACCTGACACGAAGTGTCCTTTTCTCCGATTAGAAAGCTTTTCATCGCGTGTATACTTAACAAAAGGAAGAGTGAAGCTACTAAATTAGCGAGCGAATTGCACCATTCACGTCTCAAATAGAGCAGTAAAAATGCGTTATTCTTAGTGTGAGTTACTTGGATTTACGATCCCTATCGTGAATTCCGAGAGAAGCGTGATCGTCTACACCTGATGATCGCATGGACAATCAAGCACCAGTTAAAAGAAGCTTCCAAGCCAGCACGATCAGCTCGGACTATAGACAAGAAGAAGAGAAACGTCTCGATGCAGAGCAAATACGTAGCATCTTAAAGTCACCACAGTTGGGCGAGTTATCGCCGTCGAAAGCTGTCCGTGAGCTGGTGCAGAAGACCATGTTGGCCTGCTTTGTGGACGAACCAGCGTGCTCTGGACGTGAAAGGGAGCAGCTAATTCGAGATGTACAGAAGCTCACTCGACTATTTGCCAAGAACCTATTGCTTCCTCCTGACAAGGAGAGCGGTCTGCAAGACGAAGAAAAAGGAGCAGAGAAAGAGGACAACGACTGGCAGTCGCAGTATGTTTTGCCAAGCGGGACTGTAGTGCCTCCTTCAGCTTATTTCTCCTTTCGTGGCAACAGCAGAATGCACCTTCCGATCGTGGATTGGGGAGCATTTCGAGGATATTCTGTAGCTATGTGGATCAATGTGGACTTCCAGCTACCGCCGAGCAAGAACGAAAGTTCTTTGGTGCAAGACGTCGCTCGAGACAGATTGCATGGGAAGTTTGATCTTTTTCGGCTCACAAACGGGTCAAATACGCTGGGAGTCGAGGCGTCGCTAGAGTGCGTGGAAGATGCTAGTTATGGTGAACACACGGTGCTCTTGAATGTGAGTTGCTGTGCTCTGAACACGACGGGTGACGAGAAAAAGCCGGCGTCGTTTGCGCGCCGTCCAGAGTGGAGAACAATTCAGCAGAAAATCGAATTGGTGCCTGGGGAATGGCACCTGCTGCTGATATCACATTCACTGCATTACGTCAAAAAGAGCAATGTGACGTGTTACGTGGACAGCAGGTATCAATTCCGAGAAGAACTCGCGTATCCGTCAGGATTGGTTACCGCGTCGAAATGTACTGTTGGAGGGGGTCGGAACGCGAGAGCAAAAGTTGCTAGTGTGTCAATGTACCACGATGAGCTATCTGCAGGAACCATCGAGCTGATGTACGCGTTAGGGCCTACAATATCTTCGTTCAATCGATGGTCTGCAGCGTTGCCCAGTCAGTCAAGCCGATTGATCTCTGGCACTCGCGAGTGTACACTAGGTTTATCACCGTTGGCTGTGCCAGAGAATGAATCGTTCACGGCATTTTGCAGATTGCAGACGGTATTTTCTTTTAGTGCACAGAACACTGTCGACGAGAATTATGCTAATCTGGGAGTAGAATGGGTATGTGAGGGTACCGCTCCCACTCCAAATGGAAAGTGGGTGACTTTTGAGAATAGAGAAGACGCGTCTGCCGAGATCCAACAGCGAAATGCTCGACTGGGTAAGAGCACGCAAAAAGTAATCTTCCCAAACTTCCACTCGGCATGGCATCATTCAGTGGGCGTGTCGTCATTGCCAGTGCTTTTGGATTACATTTTGACTGCATACGAGAGAGTTGCAAGAAAAGAAGAAGCACGAAAACGTGCTGGCGCGACGGAGTATGCAGCAGCAGCAGAAACCAGCAGGCGTTCTCTTCCAGCTATTATGGAAAGCGTGGTGATCGATCTATTATGGATATTTAAGGGCATGTTGCTCAACAACGTGGCCAATCAAGAGGAAGTGCTTAAGAACTATGCCTTTCATATGCTCGCTCACGTAATGGTCCATCACGAAGATTGTCTAGCTCTGGTCTGGACGCCTGGAAGCCTTGTCATCTGTGTTGAATTCGTAAAAAGTTTGTATGGCATGATGCCGTTGCCAAAGCAGAGTCTCGAAGTCGACGACAACCATCCATTCCACGTATCTATCTGGGCAACAAATCCGCTTTTTGCCTCCGGAGTGCGAGCAATTCTGATGGACTACCGATTGTGGACGCAAGCGGATTGTAAAACCCAATCTATTTACAATCGTCAGTTGTATGTGCTTGCCTGTGAGTACCCGCGAGCGTTCAACAATATGCAAGCCGTTTCTAAGTTATTAGAGATTCTTGGCAATTTTTACTCGGTTTCACACTCTTCGCATACGTCGGGTGAAACTGAAGCAAGCCAAAACTCGCAGCGATTGACCGGGTCAGACGACAACGAACACCGTTGGAAGCAACAAAGTATTCAAAGTTTGGTCGAGCTTATCGAGGTGTGTTTGACAAACCAGAGTACACAGGTTTATGAAGTTCTGGAGCAGGAAATTATGGAGACGACATTTGCTCGGGCAAGTGCTCCCACCGGAGTTGGAGGAGGTTCCGTCGCTAGCGGTACTGGCTCGTTACCGTCCACATCCTCTCCTTCATCAGCAGCATCTCCTTCAATAGCTGTACCCGCTCGCAAAGGAGGTGTGTTCAGTATCAATCTTGAAAACATTGTATGGAGTGACCAGACCGCGGCAGGTCCAGATTCGTCTGAAAATGATGATGTTCATGATACAGACGCAAGAAGTTCTTTCACCGAAAAGAGCGTTCTGCGCTCTGTCCAGGTTCGATTTTCTCTTGTTAGAGATATCCGTGCAGTCGTCCGATTTTTGATGACCAGCAAGGATGCTACCGTGGTCACATCTATATTGCTGCTTCTACGAAGACTCGCAGTATCATTTTTGGACATGCGCTTCGCATTAGTTAGCTCCAGCATCATCGATTGCCTGCTGTATCTGATGCATGATCAACGGAAAAGAGCCGATAGCAAGGGTTTGAGCAAATGGAACGACGAAGAAAGCGCTCACGCTTTGATTAACGTCCGCTTGGCTTGCGTTCCGCTGTTCATTTACCTGCTGGATTGGCTCGAGTCAATTGAAGGCCGCACTATTTGGTGTGGACTCGAAGAGCACTTGCGATCGGTTCTAAACGGGCAGGGAAGCTTTTCGGTTGGGTTTTTAGAGCTTATGATGGAGTTTTACTTTGATCCTGCGTGGCATTTGGGTGTCCAGCACAGTATAATCATGAACGATCCCTCTAAGAAGGACTCGTCGTTGTTTCCGATTGCGCCGGCGGCAGCAAGAACTGTCACGTTAGGGCAGGGAAATATAGTCGAAGACGGTATTGCGGCTGTACCCACTTCCCTGGCTGCTACAGCAGAAGTAGGCATGGGAATAACTGGTTTGATCGATTGGATTAAGATGGCTAACCAGTCTGTGGGCAAACGTCTACAGCTAACATGGGAAAAGCGAGTTGCTGTTGTTCGTCTGATAGCTTTGCGAAGTCTGTACAACGTCGGTATAAAGGGTGAAGACCAAGACGGTGGTGGAAAGAGCTCGTCGTCTCTCGCCGATGTGTTTGACGAGGGAATTAGTGGCATCTTAAGTCTGCCACTAAAAGGTGTTTTGCCGTTCTTGCCTTTTTTACTGGGCAGATGTACTCCACATATCCGTGAAAAGGTTCTTTTGGACATTAATGTGAAGCTCAAGACAGACAAAGACCTTCAACAGCAGCTGCTTTCCATGAAGAAGAGCTGGGCGGATGCGCTCTTGGAGTTATCGTTGGTATGCTCTGTTTGCGTGGAACATGTTCAGCCGTCGAACGGAGGCATGGATGATGGCGTAGACCAACAATATGAATATTGCGGTCGCGCGTATAGCTTTGATGCCAGTAGGACCGGCGAGGATCTAGTGCTTGACACAGTTGTGTCATTACTATCCATGGCGATGGTCAACCAGCGTGGATGGCAATCGCTCACACATTTGTTGCTAGCACTGAAAGGATTGCAGACGAAATACGATACAAAGCGTGATATTGCAAGCTCACCAGCATTGTCTTCTTTGCCCCCATTGGCACACGTGGCTCCGCGAGTGACCCGTTCGGAACTTTTCTGCTCACCACTGAATTGGATGTGTCGTGTGGCTGGCATTGTACTACAACGTATGGCAAGAAGCCGAACGATTTTGTCCCGGATACTTGCCGAAAATGTGCAGCGTTTACTATTTCTTGCTAATGAGACGCTACTGATCGTACCGTTAGGGCCGTTTCCAGAGTCAGCGTTGGATGGTCCGTCGAATAAGTATGTGAGATCGGATGCGCAGCTTTTTCTGCTAAATGCGGTGTTGGACATGTGCGCCCGATTGATCGACAGCACTCACAATATTCACCGCATAGGGCTTTTGCCAGGCCTACAGATCCTGCAACATGCATTACCGTTCGTACACAGCAAATGCATGATGGAGCGAATAGTGCAGGTGCTGACACAAAGCTTCAAGCAGGAGATAACTGCCGGTTCTTGTCTGAGCGTGTATGCAATGGTGCCGACGCGTGAGGTTTTCCTACGCGCCCTTGTCGATCTCCGTCGCGCACTGGTCTTCCATCAGAAGGAGGAACTATTGGAGCTACTGCGAAAACTGACCCTGCGGATATGTACATCCGGATCCTTCGATGACGAGTTGGGCACTGCTGGGCTATCAGTCTACGACCTTGGCAAGCTCACTGAATCACAGGCTGTTCGAGTGGTATTGGACGCACTGGCGTTAGCGATCAATGATACCGAACTGCACGAGCAAGAGGAACAGGACAACATGGTACCGTATTTTCCGGTAGCGAAGGAGCTGCGAAGTCCTTTGCAGGACACTGCTGATAATTCGAACAATTCGATGGCAGTATCATCACGATCGTACGAAAGGTATTCTGGTGCAGAGTATGCTGATGACAGCGAGCAGGTGCTTTGGGCAGCACTGAATGTTGAAGGGAATCAGATGTTGGCGAATCTGCGGGATGTTTCAAGCCGAGAATATCAGCGTGCAAAGACTGCGCGGTCAATCCGGCGTAAACAGGAGCAGGAGTGGACCCAAAAGCTTTGGCTGAAACACGAGTTGACCTTTCGATCGCAAAACCAATATCATGCACTGCGATGTGTGGCGCCGACGACATTGGCTGCGATGCAGAAGACGCTTATGTGGCAGGCCGGTGTGTACGAGGCACCATTTCCTTCCCGAATGCGACGTACTATCGACGTAAATTTACAATTAAGCTCGGAAAATATGCTAGCATTGGTCGTTAAGCAACACCATGGTAGCCGAAGTGAAGCAGAGGGAAGTCCAGCTGACGATCATTTATCAGCTCGAGCTGCGCCTTTCGAGATGCCTCATGATACAGAAGAACGTGAAACGAGTAATCGCGATCCAGCATCTAGTGAAAACTTGCTGAAGCGAGTTGGTCGTGTAGTAGCGCAGCAGCGTGGCGGGGCAATTAAGGACATTACGTCTGATGATTCTCTTGCACTCTCTGGTTTAATTGACACTTACGTTTCGAGCACAGACAGTGATAAAGGTGGTGATGAGGCAGAGGCGCGCCCCTTTGCAAACGAAGAATATTTAGAACAGTACAGGGGTTGTGCCATACCAGTGAAGCCGAAGGACGACGAAAACAAGTCAAGTTCGTGTATGTCTAGTCCTGCAGCTTCGAAAGGAACAGTGATAGGGCAGGACGAAAAGGGACTGGATCCTGGCGCTGGAATTGCTGTTGCACCGGATGACGCAGTGTACGCCTGCGTAACCTGCAAACGGGTGGTTTCAGAAGGAGTTGTTCTCGGTCGTCTGTCTTTCTGCGGCAAGTACATCGCCTTTGAGCCACGACAGGAGATTCCTGAGGATGCTTGGAACCCAGAAGGAGGCATTAATGCCGGCACGGTCGACTTTGACGATAGAACTCTTCCTGCACTTTCAAGTACGAATGCGGACGATGCAGCGCCAGGGCTGCAACGATGTTGGCAGTGGAAGTACACCCATCTTGTAGGTGTTTACCTCCGTCGCTACCGACTACGTGACTCGGCGATCGAGATTTTTCTACGCAATGGTAGTACTCACTTTCTGGATTGGCCGCTCACGTCGAAGGAACGGCGCAACGAGATCGTACGGGTACTGTATTCTTTCCTCCCTCGAAGTACTCCTAAGCAGTGGCCCGGGCGCATTATTCCACACTTAGCAGCCACCACTAAGGCTTGGCAAAACCGGCAGATCAGCAACTTCGATTACCTCATGGCACTGAATACTTTTGCAGGACGCAGTTTTAATGATCTGACCCAGTACCCGGTATTTCCATGGGTGCTTTCGAACTATGAAGGTCCCACATTGGATTTGAGCGACCCAGCGAACTTCCGAGATCTATCCAAACCTATGGGTGCGTTGAATGCAAAGCGACTGGAGGAATATTGGGGGCGTTACTACTCTTTCGACGACCCAGTAATTCCCAAATTTCTTTATGGCTCTCACTATTCGACTTGCGCTGGAGTTGTCCTCTTTTTCCTTTTCCGACTCGAACCTTTCGCAAGCCTCCACAAAAAAATGCAGAATGGCACCTTTGATCTGCCAGACCGCTTATTTTACTCCATCCAAGAAACGTGGCGGATGTGCAATTCACAAATGTCTGAAGTGAAAGAGTTGACTCCGGAATTCTTCTCCAGTGATGGCACTTTTCTGTGCAATCGAAATGGTTACGCACTGGGAAAGCGCCATGACCAAAAAGCTGTGGAAGACGTACAGTTACCGAAGTGGGCAAGTACGCCTGAGGAATTTGTACAAATTCACCGCGCGGCGCTCGAGAGCGAGCACGTCTCTTCTCATTTGCACTCTTGGATCGATCTCATTTTTGGATACAAGCAGCGAGGGCGAGCGGCACTCCAAGCAAACAACGTCTTCTACTATCTGACGTACTATGGTGTTGTCGATTTAGATAAAGTGGAGGATCCGAGTTTAAGAGAGTCCATGGAATTGCAAATTGCACACTTTGGTCAGTGCCCTATGCAGCTTTTTGCTGCCCCGCACCCCGCGCGGGATAGTGCTTTTTCTCGTAATGCAGTCGGCAAGGTGGTTTCCTCTGCACCCAACAGCGCATCCCTTTCGGAAACGATGAGTCCACCGCGCACTGGAGGGTTACCAGGAAAAGAGGGTGTCTTCAATGGACCATCGAGCAACCATTTTCGGCCGTTGTCACAAGCTTTTCAAGATTTCTCACCCATTGCACAAGAGAAGCGTCAAAACTGGAGCCCCGTCGCCACAGTCAAGCCAATCGTTCAAAGTGGGATCAAATTGCTGAAAATTCTTCCTGACCGTGTCGTCAGCGTGAATGAGCTTGGCGTAATCGAGATTTACTATTGGAGACTGGTACCAAAACCAGCGGCACCGTTGCCATCTTCGTTCCATGAGGAATCTGCGACTGCGTCGCCAAAGCTACCAGGGGCGCCTCCAAAAACGTTTGTTGTCGAGCCTTGCAAGGTTGCGAGCGTTGTGAGCGACAGAGATGGCTTTGTATCCGCAATGGGCTCACAGCAAGACAGCGAGGCAGGTACATTGCCCAGTGATCTACCCGTGGAGCCAGACAGTGATGAAGAAAGTGGAGCTGATCTAGCAATCGCTTGCCCGTGGCTTCTGGAGTTTGCTCGTGATGATTCCCCGTTTGAGTATGTTCCAAGGATACCTGTGTTTGATCACGTTCATGACGACGACGAAAACCGTAATCTGCGTGGACGGCACCACAAATTTCCTGTAAGTATATCCCGCAATGGGCGTGTGCTTGTGTCTGGAGGTGCGCGTAGCGGAGCTCTTCACTTTCGTTTGCTCGATCTCGACAACGGTCACGTGATTGGCAAGGCAAGTGTGGTTGGGCACAGCGCTGCAGTCACATGTTTGAGCTTGGATCGCTGGAGCTATCATAACCATAACCAGCTTGTTGTCCCTACTTCACAAAGCGATGAAGAGTTGCTTGTGTCTGGATCCCAAGATGGAACTCTTGCGCTATGGCGCCTCTCACGCCTTAAGCCTGACATGCTTTTCCGTTTACCCCGGGTATCGCCGCGCCCAATTCAAATCTTCCGTGGACATGTGGCACCCATCTTGGATTGTTGCGTTAGCACGTACATTGGGGTAGTCGTTTCTTGCTCGCATTCCGTTGGCATGGTCCACTTTCTATACGATGAAGGACAAGTGGCATTTAATTTCGAGCCTGCTGAGGACGGTGGTGAAATCGTCCGCGTCTGTTTATCAGATAAAGGATACGTGATTGCTGTTACCAGCATTTTTCAAAATGCGACCGATACGAGTGAGATGGACAGCGACGACTTGCGACAGCGCGTCGTGGTCTCCACTATCTGCCAGGTTTTCGGTTTGTCTGGCGTGTTGATTCAGTCGCACCACCTTCCGTCTGAGGAGGTGTTGGATTTGCAAGTGTCCGCTGAAGGAGACGTAATTTTTCTTACACTTTATCCGGGTATCATTCGTATCTGCCGCATCGAAGAGTACGTCATGTGTTACTTGTCGACAATGGAGAAATTGTACTTTTTTAGTCCTTCGGATGTGAGACTGACGATGCTTTGGTTTACAGCTTTGTTGCACTGCAGGAATACGTCTCCTCGTCGCCTGCAGGTTCAATGATCACCGCAATGTCTTTCGGTCCTGAGGAGGCGGTGATCCTGCTCGCTTCTGGTCATGAAGACGGCACATTGTCGCTTCAGATGCTTCCAGACGCTAGCGGTTCCGTGTCGTTTTTAACGAATGTGCGTCGACTACTCGGAGTCTCTTCCAAGCTTAAGCGTGTCAAGGGCACGGTGCAACACGCTCAAATACTAGCCATGTCAACGTTCGACAACGCCAAAGCCGTGACAAGCACAGCGCGCGACATCGCTGGCGAAGCGATTGGTGAAGCCAAAGTCATGGTGCAAGGCCTCTTCTCGTACTTGCAGAAGAGCTAAGGCACGGGTGTTGTTTTCGGTAAGCTTAGCAGGAACAATGCGTCTTTATTGATATTCTTTTGTAGCATGACTAACGGTCTCGTCATTGCTATTACGCTAGCTCAGCTCACTTGACAATCGAGCGCTGTTACGTACAGGAGCTTACTTTCTGCCATTGCGTTGGAACTGCAGCTTCTTTCGCAGGTCTCGGGCAGCGCGTGAGAGCGCAGGAGAGAAACCAGATACGGTGTCGAGGCCGGGTGGAGGCACGTGATACTCAAAAGACTGCGACACGAACATGAAAGCCACCAGCATCACGAGCACAAGGAGTGCCATCAAGCAGTAAATATACTCGAGATGGCCGTCGTTGAGGTCGCTTGTGATCCAGAAGGAGAAGATGCTATTAAGTGCACCCGCCACAATGAAGCCCAGCGTCGTCGTCAATAGATTGAGCGCTTGGCACACGCTCCTCATAGATTCGGGGACTTCGGAGTAAAACAGATCGTACGACGAAATGCTCGTCAGGATCTCGGCCAAGCCTACAAGCACATACTGCGGGGTCTGCCACCACACACTGATTGTCGACATGGGGAGAGCTTCACCCGCTGCGCTGCAGTTGGAGTAAACGCCTTCAACCATGGGACTGACCTTGCGAACACGCTCCATCCAGCCTGCTGTCAGCATCGCCAATAGAGCGAAGACAAGACCAGCTCCGATTTTGCGCAGAAGTGACGGGTAAATGCCCATTCTTGTCAGCAGCGGATAGAGCAGCCGATCAAAGACGGGGATGAAGACGAGAATGACGCCGGAATCGACAATGTTGAGCATGGCGGAGGAAATGAGTACGTCGTCTTGACCCTTGACACGCAGGTCCATTTGACAGCCCTGGACAACAAAGTTCGAGTTCATTTGACCGTAGACCGCCCAGAAAATAATGATAATCCCGAGGTACGGTGCTAAGCGCATCACTTGAGCTGCATCCTGCACTTCTTGAGTTGTGAACGACCCTCCTTTTGTGCGCATCGCTAGCTCTAGCCACTTGGTAGCCGCTCCAGAGAAAATGAGGACAAACGTCCCATAGGCAACAGCTCCTGCACCTGCAAGTGCCATAGCAAGGTGTCCCGCGTCACTTTGAATGAAATACGACACAGTCGTCAGCACAATGCCTGGGATGAACGCAAACCCGCCACTTAGCACGAGTTTGCCCTGCTTTGAACGGGCTCCAGCCTGGATCAAAATGTTGAAAAACTTGGCCAGGGCACTACCTTTAGGCGGCACGCGCCGGTACCGGTCTTTTCCAGCATAAAACACCACCACTGCAAGCATAAAGGCCGCCGAGGGAATCGCAAAGGAAGCAAAAAAGCCGAAGTCAGGCGAGATGTAGGGCGGGAGGCCATTGACGGCCAAGTTCGTGAGCACGCCGTAGCTGAAGGTCGCGCCAATGTTAATGGCCCAGTAGAACCAATTGAAGAAACTGTCCTTCTCCGCGCGTTGCGCAGGAATCGACACGTCAAATTGGTCCGCTCCGAGCACGACGACATTGGGCTTAATGCCGCCTGCACCAAGTGCCACGCCCCCAAAGAGGCCGAGAAGAAAGAGCGGTCGAGACGAGACAGCGGGCAAGGACGCAAATACGCAGAGGGCGAGGCCCGCAATGTAGAGCGCACAAAAGACGCCAATGGTCAAGAACCGACCGAGGTGGCGGTCAGCAACGTACGCCCCCAGCAACGGCGTGAGGTACGATAGTGACGTGAAGGTGGAATTGAGCTCCGTCGCGAGCACTGTGCTGAGGCCCAAGTTGCGATGGAAGAAGATGGGCAAGGAGCCAGAGAGACCGTAGTACGCGAGGCGTTCGCAGAATTCCGTCACGAGGATGAAGGAACAGACGCTGAGGATGATGGAGCGGTACGGTCGACGAGGACTTGGAGACGCTTTGGTGGGGAGAAGACGCGCGTGCTCGGTTGTGTGCGGCGCCATGCTGTGATCGGGACGAAATGGGTGCCCAACCGCTTGGAGACAGACACGAGAGCGACGCGATCCGATCTTTGAAGATCCGCTGAACAGTTTTACGATGTGACGGTTGCAATGACTGGTGGTGGACGACTGACTGACGTGTCAAATGTGACGCGTCAGACGGGTCGTTCGTTCGGGGTCAGTAGCTACTGGTGGTGGAGTCCAGGAAATGGGATCGATCGAGCAAGAAAGATACACAGAAGAACGGACAAGAATGGAATAGTGTACGGTGTTAACAGCACAGTACATTGACGGAGGCGGGTGGGGTGGGCGCAGCAACCTCGTTTTCAAGGTCTTTCATTGACTTGAACTGCACATGCTCACGAGCCGAAACAGGATGGAATGCAGCGACGGAATGATGTTGCAAGATGCTGAGTTTAATGTGAGGCAGCTCAGGTCATTTGTTGACGAGCAAACCAATTTAGACGACAGGAGCTCGACAGCGCGAAGATGTATGCTATGGCTGTTGCCATGATCAACATTCGTGACAAGCTCAAGTGCCCAACATCACCTGCAGGCGACCTATTGAAGAAAATCGGTAGCAGACCCAATCGATCTTTGCTGATAGAGGCATCAGTGTGTCTACACGTGCGATTCGCGAAATGCTGCAGGTTCGGGAAATCGATACGTCGCCCGACCATGTCCGTATCCAGAAGGCATCAGCCTAGTTCCGGTGCCGTGTGTCCCAGATAAAAATGTCACGTGTCTTTCTTCGCAACAGTAGCCCGAGACTGTCGCGTCACAGGTTCCACGTTGATAATCACAACCCAATTTTGTAACTCCCACAACATGCAGGAGCGCTGGGAACCAAGTATGTCACTCAGCTATTCGATTTCTGCACATAAACATCGACAAGACGTTTCGTGACCGCAAGCTCTTCCGCAGTGGCAACTTATTCCACGTTGTCACGGACGTCCCTTTTGACGAAGCGCGCTGCAACGTGTCTGGAATCTGGCGTGGAAGCAATCCCAACTCGAGCTAGACACATCAATAGATCAGCATGGAAAGATCGAATAGTAAGGCTCCGTCTTCCCATCCTGATTTAATTGTCCACGTAAAAGAAGGTGGAGTCACGTAATCGCGAAGTGTCGGTAGCCTCAGAAGCACGGCTCATGTTGCTGCGGCGCAACTGCACCTCGGATGAAGCCTCGCTCAGCACACGATGCAGCTCAATTGGATCGCAGGTGCGACGAATTTCGTCGTTGTAGGCTCCGTGAAGCGGATCGTACAGACCCAACAAACACGAAAAAAACCGGTCGTGATTCACATGCTGCATCATGAGGCAGCATGTGGAAAACGGCACTTTACCCAGCTTGTTCTTGTCCACATAACGGAAGATAAGTCCCGAGAACGGCAGTAGCTCCGTCGGATGTTTACACAACCAAGCCGCCAGAAGCTGAATGAGCTCAACTTCACCCAAATGACCGTCGCCATCGACATCGTGCTTTTCAAACAGCACACGCAGACGTTGCACGTACTCAAGCTGAGAGGGGGGAGCAGCCGGGGTGGCCGTCAAATGCTGAATCTGTTTCAGCCGCTGGTAACCTGAGCTACGAATGGAGGCAGGTGTCTTCTCGACTTGCATCACCAAATATCTTACGCAAAAGCTCACGTGTTCTAGCACGACGAACAGCACAATCTGGAACATGCGCCACCGCGGTGTTTCACTGTCATTCACGCACAAGCTAGGATCGGCAGTCTCGTCATGCTTGATAATCCCGAAAGGCACAACATACGCGTTGGTAAAGGTGAAGTTGCAGTTCGTTCGGAAATATCCGTAATGGTACACCACTACGAAAGCTGATACGACCGTCACACCAATGATGTTAGCATAAGCAAGCACCGTCGCCCACTCGCCAATCGACGTGTCTCGTCGCGGCATCGGCCGACGATTCGCAAACAGCAGGCGGAAGGCGTCACCGCGTACTTCTAAAATATTGTTAACGAAAGCTGGTAACGGCAGCAACGGCCACACTACTGTAAACATCATCACATACGAAAACTGGATACAAGCATCCAAGTAATCCAACACTGGGTCAAATATCGGTAGCTTTGCCTCTGCCAGAATCTCGTACGCCGAATACTTGTTCGAGTCATCTGACATTGGCAACACGTTCACAGAAAAGCCCGTATCCTTTTGAACCGATTGTGCCAGACGAGTTGCTGTCAGATTCGTGGCAGGAACGCGATTCTCAATAACTTCAGACTTAACAAAGCCACTAGCTATCTCCGGAGTGTTCTGATTCGTAGGTTGCATAGACTGCGCCTGGCGCGACCGAAAGCGGAAACACCTCGACAGGTGGCGCACACACCACGCAAACGGTGAAGCTTGACGACAACCGATAGATGGGCGACCACGAAGCTTGCGAAGCAAATAGGGAGCTATCGTCTCGAGAAGCATGTTCAGCAATTGTGTGACCACAAGCGGGGTGACAAATAACGTGTCGACCGTCAACAAATTTGGGTTCCACTCGTACGGTGCCAACGCGCCAAGGCCAAACTTGTGAAACAGCTCCAAAATGGTATCGCCAAACGGCATGTAGACAAATGAAATGAAAAGGAACCAGAAAAACCAATTGCTCCACACAAACACAAACCGACGGTGAATGAGACGGTTTTCGTGATCAGACTTTTTCGCGTAATTTTCCCACTGTACAAACTTTTCCGACATCCAGTTGAAAAGCTCGAAGAAAATGATGTCGATGAGCAAACCGAGGATGACGCCTTGAATGAGAATATATACCCACCGGTCCGTACCCAATGCGGAAGTGGTCGAGTTAAAGCACGTCATAAACCAGATACAGGGGTAAGACTCCTCACTGTCACCATTGCAAGCATCGCATGTGGGGGCATTCTTCGCGTACACATACCACTGGATAAACGGAACAAGACACACGCACTGAATAAGTGCGCATATCAAAACGAACACTAACATGGTAAGCTGGATCCAATGGTTCTTGCGCTGCTTGGGAACCTTCTCCATTTCATGCGTGAGCCGATTCTTCACCCACATGTACTTGAAACCAGGATTGTCGTCATTACGTTCGTACACAGTATTCTTGTACTTAGTCAAGTTCCATTTCTCCACAAGCAAACGCGTCTCGCGAGCCCAGCAAACGAGGAAAGACGGCCCCCAAAAACAGACCACAAACACACCGATAACCGCCAACCCTTCCATGTACTCCTTCCACAAAGGCGCGGATGTGAAGCGGAAACACAAATAGTAGAAGAGGCATGACATCGTAAGCGGCAGCAAGTGTTTAGTGTAAATGTGCATGAACGCAAACAGGAACGCCACGCGTTCGCCAAAATGAAGACGGAGTTCTTCCACTGCCCAGCGATCACTGTTGCCTGCCGCCGCTTTGCGCAAATTCAACTCGAATGTTCGCTTACGATACTCGTCGAAAAACTTTCTGTTGAATGCACGATCGTGCAGAGGAAAGCATTCGACAATGACATCAGTCACAGTAAGCTCCTTGTTCACGTCAATAACCCATTCTTCCTTGTCGTAATCCTTGAAAGCGTTCTTTATGATATTGTGCGTGAGCTGCAGCTCCAAAGCTGGCGAAAAACACATTCCTTTCAGCGAGTCGAGAGACTCTTCTGCCAGCCGCCCAAGTGCATCACCACGCTTGATCGACAGCTCGTCCAGCTCACGCTTAAACTCATGCAGCAACAAGTCCGGATTTTTCTTGGGATCTACCAAAATGCACAAGTTCCTAGCCACATCTTTCTCCTCTAGGCCCTTGGGATCCTGTCGACCGCGATCTCCCCGCTGGGCATCCAAATAGCTATCGTACAATCCATCATCCAGCAAAATCACGCCCAGTCCAGCTTGAATCAGTCGTCGCACACACTTCTGCTGCAGCATGCTCACGTGATGTGGCAAATCCCGTCGTATTGAAGCAGCTGAGCGCGATGGAAACCGCCGCTTCAGTAATTGAAAAATCTGTTCCGTGTGCTTCAGCACAATTGCAAATGTGTACTTTTGCGCTTCTTCAATCGACACATGAGGCGATCCATGCAAAAACAAGTGCACATCATCTCCCGTCGCGTCGTCGTGCTCCCGTTCATCATCATCCTCATTATCTTCGTCGTCTTCATTTTCATTAAACTCGCGTCCTCGTTCCAAGTCCAACCCTCGAGCGTACGACCTCGTGCTCGTCGACGTCTTCTTCATTGACTCTTTCTGATACAATGGCAACGCAAAGCTCGGGCCCTGCACGTCCGTCAAGACCGCTGCTCCTCTTCTTTCTGAGACATGAGAGATGCAGCTTCCCGTCCGTGATTGAACCGAGTACGCCGTCGACGGATCGGGGGAGTGTGGTGCAAAGTAAATGTCGTTGCTTCGACTCGTATAACTGCTGTTGCCACTGGCAGTAGCGTGACAACCTCCAGCTCGCTCGTGACTCGTCTGCTTGTGCTTCTTGGTCTTCTGATTCTTGTGCGGTTTCCACTCCTGAGGTCGGCTTGTGCTGCTATTACTTGACACAATGGATAGCGATGTCACTCGATCGGGGGACACACAGCCCTCCAGCGTTGGTAAACTACAGCGGTCGTCGTCCAACGGCTCACATCGTCGCGTCTGTTTCGTTGGACGACCGTTCGACTCGACCGTCATCTTCCTTGGCCGACGGCGGATCCACTCGGAGCCTGGCGCAGACGTCACGGACGCCTTGTCATCGTCCGAAGGGCGTCGCCGCATGGACACGGCCTGGACGCGCGTCCGCAGCGCTTGGTCCGCCGTTTCTAAGGCGTGCGAAACGTCCATTTCTGTAATACATTCCCAAGTGATGGCATCAGGACGTTGGCAGCCGCGATGGTCGGCGTGCGATTGGATGAAATTAATGCGCATGCTAGTAATTCGACGAATCCGCACGCAGTAAAGTTCAGCACGCGGGCCAGCTGGTATTGTCACTACAGGATGGGTGGGTAGTGACCACGCCTTGCGTGGGTTGTATTTCCACCAATCGGGTGCGCCGACACGGATTAAAATTGAGATGGAGATCCACCGCGCACCCGAGTGCGAGCTCACGCGTTTGTGGGAACTGGATGCTGCTGCCATTTCGAACCGATCGGCTCTACAACAACAGCAAGCGCAGCAGCGTGTAAAGTGGACGAATGTCGACATGTCAGCCATCTCGTTCGTGCCTGGGGCCGTCGTGGTTTCAGCCAATAACGATGGCTCGAGCTTTCGCTTTTCACTTGCAGAATGTATCGCTCCAAAGACCCTGTACCGTCTCTCATTAACGATACAATTGCCACAGGTACGTACTTGGTGCTGTCCTTTTTCTGACATACTCGAGTGACGTTTGTATCGAGATATTTGCTGGAAAAATAGCAGAAGAAGCACACTCACTGTGAATGTGGCTACGATTATGTGAGGACTACTTAGACTGGACAAGCGACTGTACGCGTGCAGCTCCCAGTACGGACTCAATTGACAATGGCCTTGGGCTCCGCCCCTTTTCCTGCAGCAACGAATGAAGTGGCACTGGGCTCGTCGCAGCTTAACACGTCGGTGGTCGCAGCAGAGCTGCCGTGCATTTTGGTGCGTCGCTTCGTGACGAGAAGATCAACAAAATGCTGCTATTGACAGTGACGCTTTGTCTCTTTTCTGTCGTCTTGCGTGTGCCGTTTGTCGCTGTTGTTTAAGAATGTCGCGGACGCGTTCCACGACGTGGACTTTGTATGGGACGACGAGTGGATGCGGTGGTATGTGGACGACGTACTGTTACTGGAAGAATATATGCAAGAAGCAGACGGTAGTGAAAAAAGCACAAGCGATGAGGATCCCGTGCTTTTCGTGGACTTGAGTGTCAATGGCTCTGATGCCACAATGGCGGTCAGACAAATGACGATGAGCTCAGGAAACTCGTCGGACCCTTTTTGCGCTCCAAGCTATTCAAGTGCAAGTAATTGTCGCGTGCAAAAACGTATGTGGACTGATTCTTTGTCAGCTGCATGACGTTTCTTACCATCTGATTGATCTGCAGCGTTTTCCCCTCGACTTGGCTCCATCCGGGGGTCACTCTCGGTAAAGGAAGTGGAGGCCTACATTGATGAAGTGGCTGCGACATTTCCGTTGATAACGAAAGTTGAAGAGCTTGGACAATCAGTTGAGAAGCGGCCGCTTCGTGCGCTCTGCCTCGGTGCATGCTATGCTCCTCAAAAGCAAAAGGTTCCTCAAGCGCTTTTCACAGGCATGCACCACGCTCGCGAGGTACTTTTTGAATACATTGCTTAAGTCGTCCGTGTGCTGAAACGCTATTTTGCATCACGAACTCACGTCAAACCTTTTTTTTATACGTTTTGATTTATTTTTCTAGCCCATCTCCATGATGGTAGGTCTTCTGCGTGGATTTTTCCTCATTGTGTGCGATCTCACGCTCTTTCTTGTCGATTCTTTTTGTTAAGAATATGGTCTACACGATCGACATTTTGACATCAGATTATCGCAATGGAGACTTGGCAGCTTTGGAGTTGCTTACTTCTCGCCAGCTTTGGTTTATTTTGGTTGTAAACCCGGATGGGTACGCACGCAATGAGAAATCTCGCGTATGGGAACATGACGAAGTCGGGCAGCGCAAAAGCGCAGCACCGACTTGTGATAATAGCTCTGCAGATGCAGGGGTGGATTTAAACCGCAATTACGACGTCTGCTTTGCACGGGACAGTAAGGGTAGTAGCAACGTTCCGTGCGGAGATGACTACAACGGGCCTAGCGCTTTCTCGGAACCAGAAACACAGGCTGTGCGCGATCTTGTGACGCGTAATACCTCCGACTTCAGTGTAGCGCTCAATTACCACTCGTACGGCAAGTTTGTTAATATTCCGTTTGCCTGCCAGGTCGAAGGTGGGCCAAGCGAATTAAACAATTCGGTCTTTGTAGCGTTAGCTCAAGAAATGGCCCGTTTTAACGGGTTTCAGTATGGTCAATCCTGGAAGGAAAGCAATTTATACACGGTGAATGGAGAGACAAGCGATTGGATGTGGCAGGCGCATGGCATCTTTGCTATGTCACCTGAGGTTGGCCCAGCATTCGATGTGGAATCTGTAATGGGATTTTGGCCACAACGCGATGAAGTTCCTCAGCTATCTGCCGAGCTTCATTATCCAAATCTGTATATTTCGCGCATCGCGGGTCCCGTGTATGCATTGGTGGTGAATGACATTCGGCTAGGCACCGTCGATAACGACGGGTCGATCGTGTCTTTTATTTCCGTCGATGTAAGAATTTCGAACACTGGATTGCGCTTTGCTGCAGCGGATTTGGTAGGGTCCATGTTTGTCAACGGAACCAATGCCAGCGATGCTGTTCATTTTGAGCTCAAAGCAGTGCCTGATGGCTCAGGAAATTTGGCTGAAGTAGACCACACGCTGATAATTCCTTATTCCGGAGGAGATTACCGTCAGTCTATACAGGAGAGTGAGACACTGTATTTGGTTGTGAGGGACGCTTTGAGCTGCCATCTCTTCCGCGTTGGTACGTTATCAGTAGTCTGTGATGCGGGGCTGAGTGTCTGCTAAGCTAATTCTATTCCTTGTTCCCTTGTGTGCGGACTTAGCGGTTCATTTTTACGCTGGCGCACGTCACTCAACTTTCCGCACGTGGGCCGCGCTGCCGCTGCCTCGCTGCGGAACTTGCGAGATGTTTGGTGTTTCAGCGAATTTAGATGAGGCTAATGATTCTCAGTACGACTCTCGAGTCTGTTCGGGCGTCAAAGATGTAGCTCTGCTGAAGGCCATTCGTACTCGGAATGTCGACCATGCCATTTCCATTATCACAACATTTGAAGATAGTGTCAGTGACTTCGTCGAACATGTTGAAGCGCCGAAGACTGCAGCCCCTACACCCGTTCCTGACGTCAAATTCGCTGATGCTGCATCAGCAGAAATGACAGCGAAGCAGTGTGCATCGTGTTTACCGTCACTTATGTCGTCATTGGGCATAGTCGCGCTGGCACTTTTCGTAGGAATTGCGCTACTCGTAGTGGTCATCCTTAGTTTTCAACGTCGCTGTCGCCGAAGAATGAAGCCCACGTGCGCAAAACCAGCTCCAGAGGCTCGACTGGGACGAAGTAAAGTGCAGTATTCGCGTGTTAGTGAACAGTGTTCAAGCTCGCCAGTGCTGGGTCAACATGTTCACTTCGACGAGGGAACGGAAGAATTAGCAGTCGGGCGCTAGCTGGAGAGAGCAGAATACTGTTGCCGACTGTGGATAGACCGCCGTTTCTCGAATTACGTCCAGAGTCACCCCATTAACTAATGCGACAAGCATGAGTGAAAGCATCCTGGAATCGACATAATCTCGGATGCATGTGCTTAGGTTGTTCGATTCTACCACCCTTTGGCTGCATGCCACTTTTGTAGCAGATTTGCGGAAAGACCCTGCGACGCGTGACACGGAATGGATTTGTTCATCCCAGTATCTTGTTGTGTTTAAATTTGCGGGAAAGTTGAAACAACCGCACAAGTGGATGTGACTATTCATCTGCAGTATGCGTCCCTCCTTCTGCGTTGGGAGAACGAGCTGTACAAGAGCGTCTTTCAGGACTGCGACATCACATTCCACGAACGTCATCAGCGAGCCGGTAACCGAACAGCACTCGTCTTGTATTCAGTCTGGCGATATTCGCATTTGCACTTCAAGCCAATCAATCCGCCTACATGATCCCCCGTCGTTGTGTTTATGGTACTCACTTTTGCTCGGCTGTCTTTGGCTGCCAGTCCATCCGAAGCTGTGGCATAACCAACGGTTAGCATCAGATTGAAGTCGTTGCAGGACAAGAGTGTTCGGTCAGCATTGGCACACTGATCCCGTACCATACGTGACACCGTCCACCAGCTAGAAAAGCCCAATGGAGAAAAGTTGCGTGGCATTGTGGCTATTTTCACGCAACGGGTGGTGCAATCTCAATTAAACATGCATCGGTGAGCTGCAGAGCAGCAATTCACGGGTTTGGGCACGTTAGCCGCTGCTTCGTGTGTAGATCGAGCCACAAAGTGAGATCGACAGCAAGTGAGATCCGATGTTCTTGAAGGGGCCATTGGAGGCATCGTGCCAAGACCAGCCCGATCATCTTGACAAGACGATGGCTTTTGTTCACAGGCTCAATCAATGAAACAGCTGGAAAGCTACGAGCATTTCGTCTTGCGCGAACTACTGCGGGCCCAGCAGCGACCTCAGCGGCGACTTTGTTCATGCGGGTAGCTAGGCACGCAGGCAGTCTACATCAACCTTGCTGCAGCGCTCATCTTCATCACGTGCATGTCGGTGCCCCTGCTCTAGGGACGGTGAGTATGACGTTGACTTCCTCGACTGTAGTCTGAAGCACTATGACACGGACGGCAGCTACCCTGGAAACGTGAGCTTCATTCCGCTCAAACCTTTTCATGTGTTGGCAGCGTTGAGTCGGTCCAAGCGACACTTGACTGTTTTCCATGTGACGGGTGCTGGCTCACGAGTGCGAATGAAAACTCGCATGCTGAACCGGTAGAGCACGTGGCCCGAACAGCAGCAACACGAACCTCTTGCAGCTATCCGAGAAGACAAGCGAGCTGATAGCAGGAACTTACTGTGAGAGTGAAGACTTCGTGTATCGAGTGCAGCATGTTGCAGGATCTTGTGTCGGTCGCAGATAGCCGGGTGTGCAGACAGCCGAAGCCAAAGCAACCGCTCACAGTGTGTCTATCACATTTAGAACTGCCGTTCAAGCCAAGGCCGTATCGACCTGGGCACGAGACCGCGACATGTCTTCAAGGTGCGATCAACGATCCACGCCAGAACCGCATCGTCCTGAGGGACAAGAACCAATGTCTTGAAGCTTCAAGAATGCATCTACAACTTGATATCGAACGTGCATGTGCGGACACCCGGTGGAGCAGGAGCGATATCGTTGCAAGTGTGGCAATGTGTCGGAGTCATTTTCGGAGTACGAGTGGCGAGATTCAGCTTGAAGGTAACAATCGAGTCTCTGCATCAGGTGATGGCAAACACCACTGAGTGCTCGCAACTTTGGTTGCCTGCAGACCAATCGACCCAAGCTCTTCCATGCGCAGAGGCGATCGTGGGCCTCCACTGTCGTTTCCAAGTACCGTGACTGGTCGAGATTCAAGACACGAACATGACTTGCTCAATATTCGTTCATCTAAAGGCCAACACCCGTTACTCTAGACAGACGATAGCATCTGCTACAGAAGTCTCACATGGTACAGGCATCGGCCGAGAACTCGCACGCTCCAATAAAAGAGTGACCACAGTTGGACGCAGTGCTTGATAATTCGTCTAGCAGCAGCACCAATTGATGAAGAATGTCCGAGCGAGAACGAGCCACAGTGACGGCTAGCACTCGTAGACACGATCAAGTCCAATCGGACCACCTCATTCCCAAAAGCTCTCGTCGCGCTGCTGCCCTCGACTTACGACTGTGCGACGTTCGGCAAAGAAAGACATTGGGACGGAATTCCTGCTACACATGATGGCCACGATCTTGGCCAGCGTCGACAGCCCAGCTTTCTTTACCATGACTGGCTCGGAACAGCAGCATGCAAGCTTATTCTCGCTCACCTTCACCCACGCGCTCGTGTGCTTGATGACCTCCACGGCGCTCCCGTCATCAGCTTCTCTACGGGCACTTGCAGCCCGTCCACAAAGCACGTAAACACGACCATCTGGACTAAACGACAAGGCAGCTAGCTACATAAGCTGCACCGGGTCCAGCAGTTCATGGACACGTGCAGCCCCACTCAATCCCGCACGTGGTCCAGTCACCAAGACACGTGCACGACTTAAGCCGGTAAAGTTCGATCGATATTGAACCATCACCACATGGACAAGGTGGAGTATTTTCGCATTAATGTTCAAGCTGCAGCCGTGTCCATGTCGCACGTACAACTGACAAAGCTTTTTTACCTGCAGCTCTTCGTCTCTTCCTTCATGTGCCTGCAGAGAGAAAGAGAGAGCGAAGAGTTGAGGGAACCACATGTCATGAACTGTCCAGCTATAAAGTGAACGATTTCAAATGGATTCGTTGGCATACATGGACTTCACAGGGACCACTGAAGTGAGTGTTCGTCAAGCCGCTATTAGTTACGATCACAGATTGGAACAGAACAAAAGGGATGAAACACGCAACCGACAAAGTGGCACAAGCTTTTAGTGACGTCTGTCTGAAAGAAAGGGAGCAGCTTTGCCTGCAAGGACAAGGCTACAATCCGAGGAGATCCGACATATCCGAGCCCGACATAGTCGTGTCTGGCATAATCGAGTCCGACATACTCGAGTCCGACATACCCGAGCCCGACATGCTTTCAAGAGGCACCAATTTGTCATTCGCGGCCGACTTCATAGCAGACATCCCAGCGAGCGCAGCGAAGATCATAGCCACAGTAGCGAGGGCACCGGCAACCATCTTTTTTGTCGGTCTCACTGCGCCGCCAGCCTCAATTCTTCTGGCTTGACCACGGAGCTTGACTTGTTTGGTCTTCGCGGCATCCCAGAATTTACCCACCTTTGTAAGTGTCTTACCCGCTTCCTTTGTTTCTGCTAAAGCCCCCTTTACCAGTGCTGCCGCGCCCTTTTCGTCAGCTTCAGCCATGATTCTCTTAGATTGTGCAGCCTTCTTCTCAAGAGCCGTCGCCGCCTTTTCTGCGGCTTTAGCGTCTCTCGTCGCTAGCTTTGCAGCCATCAAGGACTTCTCTAGCCCCTCCAGTTTTGTTTGCTTAGCCTGCAAGGCTTTGGCCGCTTCCTTCGTCATTTCCTTCAGTTTATTAGTGACCACCCCTGCCTCTGCAACCTTCTGCTCTGCCTTCTGAAGAGTGGGGCTCATCACCTTCACGGCATCTCCGACTATTTCGTCACTGCGCGTACCCACCTGTTCGAGCGTGTCGTCTGTCCTTCCAAGAGAGCTCTTCACTGTGGTTAAAACCGCGTCATCCTTGTTCCCGATGCCCTTCAGTCCTGGAATGTGGCTTTTGGCAGAACCGAACCAGTTGACGCCAAATAAACCCCTCTCCTCGTCCTTGATGTCGGCAGCAGATTCTATGTCAGGATGAATCTCAAGGTTCCTGTTCACGTCGTCTTCCGTAGGGTGCGAGTCGGCGCTGGTGAAGCTGACGCCGCTAGCGACAAAGGTGGTCACAAGCACAGCAACAACGAGGCGGTACCGCATGGTTGCTCAGGTGTCAAGTCTCCAAGTGGACGGCAAATTTCACAATGAAGTCTTGGTGAGCGGCAAACGTTCTCACAACAGCACGGTACGAGGAAACAACGCTCCAGTCTTGCCAGCCGGACATTATCTGATCCAGTCGGCTAGCCTGGCCGTCCCAGTGTGCGGACTGAAGACACGCGACAACGCGACGTCTTTGACTATAGAGTATAGTCTCTTTTATTTGAACATGCGGACATATCGTGCTACTGCGACTCGATAGTGCTGTCGTTTCTTTCAGAAATCGTAGGAGCACATCAAGGACGAGGGCTCTCAATGTGTGTGTGTGCTCGTTCTATTTTCACGATGAAACGACCACACATCAAGCCTTTTATCATGTAAAGACCTTGGAATGGTCATGCATTACGTGAGTAATTTCTACACATGCATACAGTCAAAAATCGTCTGTCATCATGAACCACAAACGCTTCACGACATCTGCCGTTGCAGAAGTGCTACAAAAGCGCTGTTGTCTGGACTAGATTCAGCTGCCTATTTTTTTTTCATGAGTTCATGCAGCGACGACGGACCTGATACGACCGTGTGTTGATCTCGTGAATGCGTTGAATATTGCGTCAATGCTTTGTCTCCTTCTCCCCTTATCGCCGCCCAGCGATACATCTATCGCAACCGACTCTTCCGCTTTCGACTCACAGCGACGGTGCACCATAGGGACGATCCAACGTCGAGTCGCACGGAATGCGTTTGTACATCGAGACAGAGCGAGTTACGTCGGGTCTAAAACCGGCGTTATACAGAGCGTTGAATGACTGTAATAAAGTAAAGTGGCTCAATGCAGAGCGGGTGAGCATAGTGCCCAGATTGTCGGTCATGTTTCTCGAGTTGAATGGGACTCAACGGCGCGTATGCACGTGTAACATGGTCACAAAGACTGACTATGAACGACCGGTCGAGGCTTAAAATTGCACGGAATTTCCCTTCATTTCGACAGGACAACAGAGCACGTGCAAAACTCGTCTGTACTCGCGGTCTCTGTCTCTCTTGCAGTAGTAACACAATGAACAGAAAAGACGGTCGATGGTTCGTCGTAAGCTACAGATGCTCGGTCGGCTGTTCGTCCCTATTCCCGACACGGTGCCCCTATGTTGTGGTACCGAGACGTGCGTTACTTGACCACATTCCCGTCATGTGCTGATCCTACCATGTCAATGTTGCAGTAGTGGTACTCCCATGATGGCTATGTTCATGCTATTGGGCACAAGACGTCTGAAACGAACGAGTCCGAACTTCTGCATCGATTACAATACTCGTCCTGGCGAGTTTCTACGGACGTGTGAGGTGAGGTCCAGGGTAGGCTTGAAACCCTTCCCAGCCCAGTCAATGTGCGCCTATCTTTCAAGCGCTCGTAGTGGTTTGCTGATCTATGCAGCAGATAGGTGTCGAATGTAGATAGACTAAACGAAGTGGCAGCCACAGCGTGGTCCGCCTACGTGGCGTGCGCGTCGACGATACAACAGCGATAATGTGAAGACGCCAGGCCCCAGAGTAGCCAACGACGCAGCCCTTCATCCTGTAGGAGGTGACCACCGAAGCGATATCATGCGGCGCGAGGATGCTACCAGACGTAGTTTCTAACTTTTACCGGCCGTTTGCACGACCAGACATCGTTTCCTACCCCTTACAGGCCGTTTGCACGACCAGGTCACGTGAGCGGCATTCTCGAGACAAGGCCTCATCATCCTTGGCTCCCGCGAAGAGGAATTCCGTCCGGAGGGGAAAGGCTGACGCGGCCATCAGCGTGTATAGGGCTGTGAAAATTTCGGGATTGACGAGTCCATGTTGAAGGTGGTGATTGATCGAGAAATGCCAGGATGAAGCAGCCCTAAACTATTAGCCGCGCTGTTGTTGCCTCGGATCGAACCACCGGTTGTAGAGCATGTAGGTAGATAATAATGTACCGGGCATTTACGAGAACCAAAACATACCGCGAGATGGAAAAATTAAGATAGACGAGCAAACTCTAGAGCTTGTCTTCGCCACGAGTGTTTCAGTTAAAACCTAGATAACAATTTGGGGTACGCGAGACAACGGCGGCTTACAGGAAGGCTCTGGTAGCACACCCCAGTCCAGTATGCCCGGTCGATACAATTGGCATTTGCCGCTTCGGCGGGAAGCTAAGAGCATGTTTATAAAGGTATTCGAAATGTTGGTTGTAGAACTCACCAAACGTCTTGTCGATTTCGAACCTCTCGTTGAGATACATCGACACCTCGGGTACTTTAACACTCAATCAAAGGCTCAACTACAAGTACCAGTATCTCGAACACACCAATGCTTGAAACCATTATACTTTCTACAATACTCCTCGTTTTACGGCGACGCAAAGACAGACTGGTCACTTCGATTTAGGGGCTCAACGGCTGAGCCAGCAAGACAGCTGTTTTTGACTCCTCATTCGGTCGATCGCATGAATGCATTCGATTCGTTTACAGTCAGCTCCCTAAATAACATCCCTATTTATCCACCCCCAGTTTGGATCTTATAGAGGGAGAAAATTAAATCAGTAGATGCTGTAGAAAGAGCTGAGTGATTCATTGTTTTCACATACACTTTAGCAACTGGAATGCTCAAGTCACCGTTGATTTGGAGTGCCTGTAACGGGGTGAATCGTTACATAACAATTTATAAGAAATTGTTAATAGAATATAACTATAAGAGTTATACTCTCAGAATATTGTCATAAGGACAAATATTCTGTAGCACTTACAAGTAGTTCCTAATTGGTTGATATAGGCCATTATATCAACCAACGAAGACGCGCCACGACAGACGCACGCAATGAGTGGTGAGCAGATAACTGATTTACACATTTGTATTTAGACATAGTTAGATGAAGATAAATAGTGATTTATTGCAGACATTAACTATTATAAATACAGTTCTACTTTTTACTCTAACCAAGTACTCGCTTCTTCTTACCGTCTTCCTCTGCACGTACGAGTGTACGTGAAGTTACGAGGCACCGCCTTATTCTGTTATCAGAATAAGTAGCTTGTACTGTCACCAGTACAAGCTTCAGGGTGCCCCCGTTACACCTGGTAGCACTTCGTAGTCCGTCCAAGGACCGCGTTCACATCCAACATGAATATGTTGGATGATGAAGATGACCAAAGCTTTCCCGCTACGCGTGACGGCTACTCCCATTTGAGCGATGTCGAATGGGATGCGGTTGAACGAATGGGTTCGACCATGGGCATCCATGCTGTTAGCGTCATGCTAGAGGCTCTCAATAGAGATGCCCAACATGCTACTATCGCCAAGTTCATTCAAAATGAACTTGACGCCGAACGCGAGAAAGTAGCCTTGCTTCACCAACAAGGTTCTCAACAAGCAGAGTTGTTGAGAGAACAAGGTGCTCAACAGTTTGAACTGTTGAGACAGCAGCAGGCTGCTGCTGGCGGGTCGATGCATTCGCGTCGACCCGAGACTTTGAAGATTGACATCTCAAAGTATAGGGGGGTCGAAGAAGACTCCCTCTTGAGATGGTTCGTCGAATTGGATGACGCCATAAGGGCGCGTCGCATCGACGACGGGGATATGCAAGTTGCATTTGCCCAATCAAATCTGGCAGGACGTGCCAAGACTTGGGCACTGGGGCTCAAGCTGCACGACCCAAATGCGTTTGGGTAGTTGGAAGCCTTCAAGTCGCGGCTCAGACAAACGTTTGAACCGCCTAGAGCTGAGTTCAGGGCTCGAACCGAACTCTTGAAGCTCAAGCAGGGTAAGCGTGACGTGCACGCTTACGCGCAACATATACGACATCTCACGAGTTGCATAAGTTCCAATCCAGTGGATGAACACACGTTGGTTTCGGTGTTCATGCAGGGTCTTGCGGATGGTCCCGTCAAGACTCACCTGTTCCGGCTTGAACTAGATTCACTAGAACAAGCCATTTCCATTGCGGAGCAGGAAGACTTCAGTCTGAGACAGGCTCGCGCCAGCTCGACATCATATCGTCAACCGAGACGATATGACAACGGAGGTCCAGAGCCGATGGAACTCTGTTATGTAGAGAGCGAGAAGGTTCGCTCTACAGGCTACAAGAAGTTGCAGAGATGCAACAGATGTCAAAAGACAGGACACTACGCTTACGAGTGTAGTGCCCCTCGTCCAGTGTCTCGCGACACTGGGCGTAGTGACCGTCCACCCATGAGAAAGGGGCAGGGACGAGGGTCCGCAGTTGGTGCAAAGACGCAACAACGGGATGGACCGTCAAAAAACGGACAGGATCAGTAGGTGCGGAGCACCCTACTGATCCAGCAACGTCAAGAGAATTTGTAGGCCTCTTGATGAAGGTTGCTCCCAACACACAGACGTTGTGCGTTGCTGCTCTAGGTAATGAGATCTCACTCATTACCTTGAAACTCGAAGTGACGAATAAGTTGTCCCTTCGAGCTCTAGTCGATTGTGGGGCGTCCAACAATTTTGTGCGACGCCAATCGCTAGAAGATGGTCACTTTAAACTCAGTGAATGTGACACACCTCCTACGAGGATGACGGTACGTCTTGCGACAGGCGCATCCGTAACCGTCATGAAGCGTATAGTGAAGATCCACTATACGCTAGAAGATACCCAATATGATGATGACTTTATCGTATGGGATTTGGATGACAAATTTGACGTCATCCTTGGAAAACCGTGGCTCAGAAGGTACGAAACACGGGTAAACTGGCAAGATCGAACAGTAACGATGCCTGCCGCTTGTTCATCAGATGGCCATCTGATGAACGTTTTGGAGCGTCCACAAGCGTGTGGATGTACTACGAGTGAGTGCGATGGCCTCACTTGTGGTACGGTCGTTAGTACGACTGCACAAAACCTTAGTGTACCAAACGGTTACACTTCGGAGCAAAGTTCCGGCGGCTGTGAGGAAACACAGGCTGCGCCGAAGGTCCACCACTCGAATAAGTCGGGTGGACTGGGACAAAGATGTATCCCTAGAGGGGAACATCTAGAAGAGAAACAATCGATCGCTCAGGTTAAGCGAAACGATAATCCTAGATCGACTGGAGAGTCTTTCGTAGAGGATCTCGCTGTGGTTGCGCAACCCCAGCTAGAGGAAGTAAAGGGAATAAGTCCCAAGATTACAAATACGGCGGAAATAAGTTCCCCGAAACCCGCGGGAATAAGTCCCCGGGAAGACGAAGGAATAAGTCCTTCGAAGCCTGAGGGAATAAGTCCCCAGGAAATGACAGAGACATTGAATGTCATAGTCAATAACGGATCATGTGTAGGCGCTTATACACTTGATCTGATTGCACCTCCGAAGTTAACTTTGGAGATCACTCGGTTGCCAAAGCTAGAATCTAAGCGGATCTTGCAAGATCTGCGTAGTAGAAAAGTCAAGCAGATCTGCATACTCGTCGCTGACGACGAGTGTGTAACCGACATAAGGTCAGCAACAGTGTTCACTAAGAACGAGAGAGTTCTCAGTAGTTCATCTATGGACGAGAGTGTCCTAGATGAAAAGACACGAATTGAGCGATATGACTCCCAATCATAGGAATCGCTCAAGAAAAATCCTCTCTATGAAGATTTGGTTGAATTCAAGGATGTATTCCCTGAAACTGTTCCGTGCGAGTTACCGAAGGATAAAGGTATTCGACACGAGGTCGAGCTTAAACCAGGCTCGAAGTACTGTGTTATGAAGCAGTGGCCACTGCCTCGTGAACAAGTGCTTGCGATCGACAAGTTCTTTGCCGATCGTTTAGCAGCGGGCCATGTGAGGGAATCAACTTCCCCACATAGCTCTCCGACCTTCTGTGTGCGAAAAGCAACAGGAGGGTGGCGGATAGTGCACGCGTTCAACAAATTGAACGCTGCAACGGTACCGGCTCAGACACCGATACCGAGGAAGGACGTAATCATTGATGGTATGTCAAAGAGTACCATCTTTTCGTCCATGGATTTGATGGATGGCTTCTATCAAATCCTAATGCGGGAACGGGATATACCCTATACCGCAGTTAGCACGCCTAGCGGCATGCTCTGGGAATGGCTAGTAATGCCACAAGGGCTCAGTAATGCCCCTGCCACGTTCAACAGGTGTGTATTACATCTGTTGAGGCCAGTACGAGAATTCGCGCCGAGTTATTTCGATGACGTATTCATCCATAGTCGAGCTATGGATGGAAAGTCGGACGTTGAGGTTCACAGGTACCACGTCCGACAAGTTCTTACAATCATGCGAAAGCATCAATTGTATGCAAACCTCAAGAAGTGTATATTCGCAGCAAGCGAAATACCACTTCTTGGGTGCATCGTTGGTAAGAACGGTGTACGTCCTGATCCCGAAAAGATCAAGGCGATCACCGACTGGCCTGTGCCGGTCGATGTCAAAGGTCTTCGAAAATTCCTTGGGCTAGCGGCGTATTTGCATAAGTATTCACGCAATTACGCCGAGATGACTGTACACCTCTCTCGTTTGTTGAAAAAGAACGAGAGGTGGTTATGGAACGCTGAATGTCAACGCTCCTTTGAGGGTATCAAGCAGAGCTTGATACAATCCCCAGTCCTAGCAATAGCCGATCAGGACAGGCCATTTCATGTGGTCTGTGATGCCAGCGATTTCGCAATCGGCTGTGCATTAATGCAGTACGATCTTGAAGGCGTTGAACGCGTCTTCTGCTATCAGTCGCGTCAGCTGCAACCAGCTGAGCGGAACTATTCAGTGCATGACAAGGAACTCCTTGCCATGAAGTATGCACTCGCGAAGTTCAGAGTCTATCTATTAGGAGATAGACCCTTCGTTGTTTACACTGACCATGCGTCATTACGCACGGCAGTGAACAGCCCGCACCTTTCACAACGAATGGCGCGGTGGTTGTCATTCTTTGCAGAATACAACTTTACGGTCGAGTACAAACCAGGACGACTTAATGTCGTCGCTGATGCACTCTCACGTCGTCCCGACTTTGAAACAGTCGCGAAACCCAACAGTGAGACAGTCACTGTTGCGGTTATGACGTCCTCAGTTCCATCTACAATGCTGTATGATGATGTGAGGCGGGCATACGCCCAAGATGGTGAGATTGTGAAGTTGTTGTCACATCTCTCCCAACCATCCCGAGAATCGTTGAAACGATTGTCGTCTGCGTATCGATCAGCATCAGATCGATACACTACTCGTAACGGGTTACTGTATTATACAGCCGTTTCTGGTGACACACCACGTGTTGTCATTCCAGATGATACTGATCTGCGTTTGCGGATCATGTTCGAGTATCACGATGCTCCTATAGGAGGACATCGTGGCCGAGAGAAAACATATCTCACGGTAAGTCGAGACTTTTACTGTCCCCGCCAGTATCAGTTTGTGCGAAAGTATGTTCGCGCATGCGAAGTCTGCCAACGAGTGAAGTCAAGTCCTTCACTGCGTGCACCTTTACAGCCTCTACCGGTTCCGGCTGAGTGCTGGGAATCCATCTCAATGGATTTCGTCTTCGGGTTACCCAAAGACGCACGCGGGAATACGGGTATTCTCGTATTTGTTGACAGATTCAGCAAAATGGTACACCTTGTGACTGTACCAGAGACAATCACGGCAAGTGGCTGTGCTTGTGTCTTTATTGACACCATCTTCCGACTTCATGGGTTGCCCCGTGAACTCGTATCAGACAGAGATCCACGATTCACTGCTGATTTCTGGCGTTCCGTGTTCAAATCACTCGGAACGCGCTTGAAGATGTCAACATCTGATCATCCAGAGTCGGATGGTCAGACGGAACGTGCCAATCGTGTCCTTGAAGAGATACTTCGAGGATACGTACACTCCTTTAAGAGTTGGAGTGAGTTTTTGCCAATGGTAGAGTTTGCCATCAACAACTCGGTGCATGCGTCCACGACACATACACCGTTTTATGTGAATGGCTTGCGCCATCCGCGTGTACCCACCTTACTAGAGTGTAACTCTGGTTTAAGGGGGAGGGACTCGCGCGAGCAAAAACCGATTTGGTTCACGCTCATCACGCTCTGACGAAGAAGTCATTGCGTTTGATGCCGATATCGATAACATCGATATCGAAGAAGATGATGCCAGTGAGAGTGCGGAAGCCCTCACTGAAGACAATGATCCCAGTGAGAGTGCGGAAGCCCTCACTGAAGAAAAGGTTGTTGTTGCTGCAGTGCGCTCACAGCACACTGAAGCTAACGAGTCATCAGATGAGTTCATACTGGCTCGTGAAACGGTAGTCCGTTTTGTGCAAGACTCCATCGCCGAAGCGGTGGATAAGCAAAAGCAAAACGCTGACAAGAATGGAAGGGCAAACACTCTTTTATTTAATAAAGGTGACTTAGTCCTACTGTCTACGGTTAATCTACCAAAGCATGTAGTGACTAACTTGGGTAGCAGTAAACTACTACCCAAGTACATTGGCCCATTTCGTGTATTGCACCGCCTAGGCAATGCATACACGATCGAGTTACCACGTAAGATGCGAACGCATCCCACGTTTTACGTTGGTCGGCTTAAGCCGTACCATCAGTACGCTGCTTCTTCCGATGAAGAACGCCCTTGCGCTCAAGCATCTCGCAGAGAGCCTTGTGCTCCCGATGGTGGGCATCAACAAGGGTCTGAAGAGCAGCTATCTCATCCCGAGACCGATCAGCCATCCCACGAGCTACCCTTAGCTCGTCACGAAGAGATGTCAGAGATCTCTCGTTCTCAAGCTGAGCAAAGGCAAACTCAGCTCGATGCTTCGAGGCAGTGTCCACCATCTGGAGACGCCTATTCCGCTCATGCTCGAGATCGTCGCGTAACCCTTGCGTTACGCGATCAAAGAAGCTCTCGGGAACACACCGATCCACATGATCGTGTGGAGAGCGTCTTTCCTCCTCCTCCACCTCCATCAGAGGACTCTCGCGGTGGCCAGCGCTATCTAGTTGAGCAGCTGTTGAACCACCGCGACGTGAACGGACGTCGGACGAGTTACCTCGTCCGGTGGCGCGGCTATCCCCCGTCCTGGGATTCTTGGGAGCCCCCCTCCCAATTGATGGTTGACGTACTGGGTCTGGTCGAGCAGTACGATGCGGCACATCCTGTGCCGCAGAAGGACCGCCGGAGAAAGTCTTCCCGGCACGGTCGTAAAGGGATTTCAGGTTGTCAATCCCTTCGTACATCTCAGTAGAGACACGTACGCGCCACCACGGGCTGGTAAGGAGGTAAGCCTCCTTAGGTGCTCGTGCAGAGTTGTTCACACAACATGGGCACGAGTCTCCCCAAGAGAGACAGGGTAATCCTTTCTCCCTTGACAGACGATGCAGCTTGTAGCGTGCACCTGTCGGGGTTCACTTTTCAAACTTATCACGAGCTTTGATAAGTTTGTCGTTCCAAGCGTCACGACCTACATCCTCGAGGTTATGGATGTAGGCGTTCCACGCCTGAAGTAGTGAGGGACCATCACGTTTGTGATTCCCACTGTACCATCGATGTCTGAAGAAAGCATCGATGAAGAACTCATGTTCAGCGCGATAGTCTTTCGCGCTGGGGTCAAGGTGATGGATCCTTGACGAATCGAACAATCGTGTTCGATAACGATCACTCGTCGTCGCCGACAAGTGATCCATGACTGATTTTGGAGGCATCCATGCCTTCTTTTCTGGAGCGAGACGCAACACATTGCGGTCCCGCTCTTCCTGCGACGTGCCGACAGAAGTACTGGCACCTCGCTGTGAAGTGGTGTCCATTGGAGAACCGACACCACTATTAGCGCCCGAGTCTCGCGACCTTGAGCGCCTTCGCTTCGGCGATGGTTCATCTGACTCATCAGATGAACCAAAGATGCTGCGACGCAAAGCATCGTCCATGCCACGCTTGGCAGGCGGCTTGGATTCAATTGCCGTCGATACGGATCCGTCATCCGTATCAGGAGAGTACGAGACACCGAGCTCGTACTCTGTGAAGACACGAGTGTCTTCATGACCAGAGCCTGCATCACCAGGTGATACAGGCTGAGTCGATTCAGCAACCGATGGGACATCAGTTGCTGTAGTTTCTGCTTCGGCGTCCGCACAGAGACGTGCAGACGCGCTCTCGGCGGCCTTGCTCGCGCATCGCATGGGCTTGTTTACCATGCGATGAGATGTTGGAAAGTGGACGCGGACCAACAAGTGCAAACCCTGTCCCAAATGATTTGGGACGAGTATCCATTAAGTCAATCAGTCACTAAAGTGACTGATGGTTAAGGGGGGGTGATGTAACGGGGTGAATCGTTACATAACAATTTATAAGAAATTGTTAATAGAATATAACTATAAGAGTTATATTCTCAGAATATTGTCATAAGGACAAATATTCTGTAGCACTTACAAGTAGTTCCTAATTGGTTGATATAGGCCATTATATCAACCAACGAAGACGCGCCACGACAGACGCACGCAATGAGTGGTGAGCAGATAACTGATTTACACATTTGTATTTAGACATAGTTAGATGAAGATAAATAGTGATTTACTGCAGACATTAACTATTATAAATACAGTTCTACTTTTTACTTTAACCAAGTACTCGCTTCTTCTTACCGTCTTCCTCTGCACGTACGAGCGTACGTGAAGTTACGAGGCACCGCCTTATTCTGTTATCATAATAAGTAGCTTGTACTGTCACCAGTACAAGCTTCAGGGTGCCCCGTTACAGTGCCTAAACGCTATACTGAACAACACACGCTGATAATCGTGACGAAACGTACGACGCCAACGATCACGACTCGTTGTTATCGAAATTGCACAACTCCCTTTCGCTGAAGCATATGAATTTTTACTCATTCAGACGATAGTGCATCAAATATACTACCGTCTCAGTATCGGGCTCTTAACGACGAGCGTTACCAATATATTTAAGGATGCAAAGAACGTTGCCCCGCTCAAGATAAGCGATTTGCAAGGATATACGATTCATCCTGGGCACCGTTCACTCTAACCTAAGACAAGATACATCCAGGGTATCTGTAACGGGGTGAATCGTTACATAACAATTTATAAGAAATTGTTAATAGAATATAACTATAAGAGTTATACTCTCAGAATATTGTCATAAGGACAAATATCCTGTTGCACTTACAGGTAGTTCCCAATTGGTTGATATAGGCCATTATATCAACCAACGAAGACGCGCCACGACAGACGCACGCAATGAGTGGTGAGCAGATAACTGATTTACACATTTGTATTTAGACATAGTTAGATGAAGATAAATAGTGATTTATTGCAGACATTAACTATTATAAATACAGTTCTACTTTTTACTCTAACCAAGTACTCGCTTCTTCTTACCGTCTTCCTCTGCACGTACGAGTGTACGTGAAGTTACGAGGCACCGCCATATTCTGTCATCAGAATAAGTAGCTTGTACTGTCACCAGTACAAGCTTCAGGGTGCCCCGTACTGTATCGATGAATACACTCCACTTTTTACTAAATACACCCATGCACTTTATACATACCACAGCACAATATGTGTGTACGACAACTATCGCGCCATCATGCCTCTGAACGACCGCTATTTCCCAACAATATGCATCTATCGTGCAAAAGGAAAGTGATTAAATCAAGCAAACTTCTTTGAGCACGCAATAGACGACTGAAGGTCTTTCCCTAAGTAAACGACTTGAGAGATGACCATGAACCACTCGTAACTTCATGTCCGATACATCTCGGTTTTTATTTGTTGCGAGCCCGAAGGGTGAAGCTATTAGCGATTGTGCTCAAGGTTGAATGCTGAACTTTTTGATCGTACTTATCTTCTGTGTGTGTCCGTGTGTCTGTAGATAACGTGGTTAGGTGTGCCTTACACGTACTAAGTGTGATCTAGCCTGTGTCCTCCCTCCTACGTTCATATATGCAGATTCAAAGTCACATTTTTTGGTTAGGTCACAGTTATGATGCACGCACGTGATTGACTTTAAATCGATTAATGTGATTATGATCACATAAGTAAATGCTGGCATCTTTATAGTCTAGGCCGACCACGTTGCCTGAGTATACTGTACTAGGTTAATTTAAGACTGTCACGGCTTCATACTCGTTCGAAAGTGACTGCTTCTGTACAGTATTTTACACCTTGATTCATTTCATTTCAATGAACTGAATTAATCATATGAAAGGGTGAGCTACAGAGCTTTCCCCCCGATCTTATCGTCCAAAAAAAGGCATCAGCCAGGTTTTAATCGAGAAAGATACAAAATGAATGACACAAAGGTTCACGTTTCCCTGGACGTAATCAAAACAAGAAATTGTATGATACAGCAATGCGTACTTGTGATCGAGCCTATTCCTGGATCTGCATTAACACCGTTAGCTTTCAAGAAATATTTACTGGTAAAATCACTTTCCATTTGCACGATAGATGCATATTGTTGTGCAATAGCGGTCGTTCAGCGGCATGATGGCGCGATAGTTGTCGTGCAAGCATATTGCGCTGCGGTACGAATGTAGTGTAAGGGGTGCATTTCGTCAGAAGTGGGGTATATCCAACAACAACGTAAACCCTCAATTGCGCTCCAATCAGTTTTGTGCGCTTTAATCAGATTTGCCAATCGTAAAGTGACTCGAATATTTCACAACGCCGATGAGCCAGAATGCCAAATCTGTCATCTCCCCGTGTCCTATAAATTTTATATATATCCGCTATTCATTTAGCGCCAATCGCATTTGGCCTTACCACTTTCTTACTCACATAGTGTAAACGCTTCTCCTTGCACTCCGTTAAAATGTGCACACAGTCAGTCTGATACTGTACGACAGTGCCAACCCTAGCGCCAATGCATTTCAGCGTCCAAGATTTTAGTTTTATCGATCTGGAAGCGGAGGTAGAGAAGTCATAAGTGGCTCCATGTGTGGTACACTTTAGCTTTCTTCGCTAGCATCCCGTATCTATAACCTGTTGCTTCGCTTCAGCACCATCCCTCAATATTTCATCATACTTTTTAAATATCGTATTGACAAGAATTGCGTCGTAATAGGCTTGTGTTGACTTTGAAACCAGCCAGACAACCCGACCAATTTTAAAGTCAAGTAATTTAGCGCACTTAACTGCTCGGTGCCAATTCTTGATCATATGAATTGAAGCAGAGTTTAGAAAACTGACAATCACAGAAATGAGTCATTAAAATTTGGATGAGATAGTCGGTTTTGTTGGCTTTTCGGAGATGGCCCAAATTTATGTTTGCTTTTGAGGATCAAATCTCTGGTCATTTTGCCAACCAATTCGTTTTAGAGCAACATTTTAAAGTTTACGTTGACCTAAATTTATCACCTCTTCAAGCTTAAGAAAAATGGTTTAGGCTCTTCTTCTGAGCGCGCGGAAAAGTTCTTTCGATCCACCCTTTGCCTTTCTGCGCACCTTTCTATCAACACATAGAACTTAGAAGCAACTGCTAAGCCCGCCATGGTGACCAACCAAAAATGTCTTCTCATACATTCCATGACCATTTCGAGCTCAGAATTGTTTAAGTCGGTAAAACTTCCACATCTCTCACTCCTCCTTTAATCGCGAGTCCCGATTCGATGAGCTTTAAGGACGTAAAAAGTATCGCATTGATGGTCGTCGTCCGTTAGTAGCGTGCACGGCTCGTGAGGATGAGCTAATGCATGAGAGGGAATTTTTTGGATAGCTTTATACCATTCTTAGTGATATTTCATGGATACGAGTGTGACAAAAGTACCGAATTGTACTTCAGGAACTGAACAAAAAAACATCACGGGACCAGTGATAACAGCAACAGCAGACTTATGAACATACTGTGCGGTACAACTTTCACACCGCAGGCAATGATATCTGTCAATTTGAGGATGTGGCAGTATTCGCACCACGCCAATTACGACATCATAAAAGCGATTCATAACACATTACCATGGATGTCATCGATGAAGCTATTGTGCAGAATTCTGGGGACCCTTTTTATGACCGACCTTTATCACTACATTATCTTAAGTGGTCTGTATTTTAAATCCAAAGTTCATTTGCCAAGTAAGTGACCTGATTATGCGGAAGACGCCGTGTCGTAGAAATTACGCAACATCACTTTCTGACACTTTTATGTCATAATATCCGTGGGTACACCACTAGATGCTTCCAATTATGCCGGACTAGTTAGTGCGTACAAGATGATCATGGGTCGTTAT